GAAGTAATTACACCAAAGAGATCAGCTCTGTGGGCTGGTAGGGATTTGATTCCCACATAACTGTTTGCACATTTCTGAAAACAGTTTCTTGAACATTTACAATATTCAGTCTATGAGTGACTTACTGTTTAACTCTTTCTTTTCAGGAGATAAAAATCCCTTCATGGGTGAGTGAATTTTTGAGTTTTCATTGGATGATCACAGCATCTGACTTGTTTTGCGATGTAAGTTTGTCTGCGAGCTGACTCTCCATCTGCCTGCAGAGGAAATCCATCCCTGATGTAAAGATCAGCGGTGACCTTGGAAACAAAGTCATAGCTGGCAAAGTTGTGGCGAAATCTGGTCTGCGTATATACGAAACCAAAAAGAGGGAGAAGAAGTTTTTCTTTTACCTGGGAGTGGCTGATGAAACAGGCAGCATTAAAGTGATGGTGTATGGAAGAGAGCGCTATCAGCGTTTCCAGGAGAAGAGCTGCTACCTGTTCAGAGAGATCATCCTGGACGAAAATGTCATGAAAGTGACCAAAAAGAGCGTCATATCAAAGACAGCAGCTATTGATGTTCCTGAGAACCTGGAGATGGAAGCTCAGATGTTCGTTTATTCCCAGACTCCAGTTTGCTCCATCGGACAGGCCATCGGATCAGCGGAGAAGACATCAGTGAGTGTTCAAGGAACAGTAAGAGAGGTAAGTGTGACCTGAATCTGCTGAAGTACAGTCTCTAAATCAAAATCAAAATATGATGACATTAACCTTTAAATTACTTTAAAACTATTTGAATTGACTAAAGAGCAGCATGATCAGATCCATAGGATCTTATCTATTTACGTATATCTGCTGAGCTTGAACTACTGTGGGTCCATGAAACATAACTGATGTTACCAATAGTCTCAAATCAGTTGTCACGCTGTATGAAAACTACTCCATTCACATCCCATGTTTTGTTTTTTGAAAGTAATAAGACTGTTCTACTGCAACAGTCAGATGGGCTGTGACAGTGATTGTGATGAACTGCCTGCCAGATAAACCCAGATATTTTTCTGCTAATCACAGTTTGTTTATAAAAGACAGAATGTTCGATCATAAGGGTATTCATAAGGTACTGGGAGATGCTATGGTTCCATGTTGACGACTGATTTTGTAACCATATCATCAGATCTGTGGCTGCATGTCTTAGACACTGAGGTAAAGAGGGGAGCTTACCACCTGGCAGTAAGATGGATCAGGTGATCAATGAGGATGCTGGAAAACTCTGGTGCATGATTACACTCATAATTGTCTGAAGAGTCGATGGAGCGTGATGCCTACAATATCTGATAATTCTGCTAGTCTAAAGTTTAACTTTGTCTTCATATCAGATGCTTTCACACAGTTCAACAAATGCTCGTGTGGTCTAGTTTTCAGATAGATGATATTTCTTTCAGAAGAGAGAAGGTTTGATACATCTTCTATTTACTGGGAATTTGTTAGCATCCATTCAGCTATAGGCATAAGACTGACAGCTTTTGTGATAGTTTGGACTGATATGTTTTTCTATTCTGTTCACAAGTAGTCATGAATAGGATGGATCACACTGATGTTTTTTTGCTCCTCACAAGAAATGAATCCGTTTCTCCCTTCACAAATTGTTACCCATTGATCAAACTGAAGCTCAAACACAGAAAGAAGAAAATTCAAGCAAGAGTTTGAACTTGTAGACTGCACAGGTGCCATCAGGATCATCTGAAGACATCAAGCAGCTCAGTGGAATATCACATGGAGACTTTTTCAAGATGGTCAACGCAAAGACCAGTCGCGACTATGGTACAATCAGTGTTGGGAAGGTTACTTTTAAAATGTATTCCATTACAGAATACAGATTACATGCCCCAAAATGTATTCTGTAACGTATTCCGTTACGTTACTCAATGACAGTAACGTATTCTGAATACTTTGGATTACTTAATATATTATCATGCTTTTTACAACAACGTGAATGTACTATTGCTGTGTGATTTATTACTGTTACTGAAGGTCCGCGACTCCGAACTGTAGTAAAGGGACCTCTGACTAATACGGCGGGGTCCCTGTCGGCTCGTAGCCGAAAAATAGCTTTACTTTGTTGTGTGGGTCAACTTTTCTTGCGAGAGACAGAGAGAGGCGTTGAAAGGCTGCTCCAACGGAACTTATTGTTTCAGAGGAAAACACGAACACGGTGTACAGTCGAGTCTTAATAGCTTACTTACAACTGGGCTCGTCAGGCACTCTTCTTGGCTGCAGTGGTTATTATTATATTTACATGCTTCCAGCTCCCGTTTTTGCTCGATGACAGCTCGTACTTTTCCTTTTTCTCCCTCCCTCGCTCACAGACACATAACGTGTATGGCAGTCCATTCTCCCTGCAGCACGGACTACACTGCCCATGATGCTACATTCTTTAGAGCTATACCTGTAGCATTCTGCCTGTTAGCTTAGCACAACAACAACAACAAAAAGGCGCTCTCTCACCCAGGAAACACGCAGAGAGAGAGCGTCACCCTGTAACCATGGCAACCGTAACGCTGCCGCCTGGAACAACAGAACGTAGCTGTCAAACAAAACCCAAACAGTCCTGACCCGCGACAAATGAAACAGGAAAGTACCGCAGTGTAATCCATTTATTTCAACAAAGTAACTGTATTCTGAATACCACCTTTTTAAACGGTAACTGTAACGGAATACAGTTACTCATATTTTGTATTTTAAATACGTAACGGCGGTACATGTATTCCGTTACTCCCCAACACTGGTTACAATATGACTGCACTCAAGTAACTATTTCTACTACAGTTTATGACTATTTGTTATTTTCAATAACCTTTATTTTTATAGAGCATTTTTCTTTCTACTATAACTAAAAAAAGAAAAATGGTAAATGGCCTGTATTTGTATATAGCGCTTTACTTAGTCTCTATGGACCCCAAAGCGCTTCACACTACATCCACACACTGGTGATGGCAGCTACATTGTAGCCACACTGACAGAGGCGAGGCTGCCGGACACTGGCGCCACCGGGCCCTCTGACCACCACCAGTAGGCAACGGGTGAAGTGTCTTGCCCAAGGACACAACGACCGAGACTGTCGGAGCCAGGGCTCAAACCAGCAACCTTCCGATTACAAGGTGAACTTCTTGAGCCACGATTGCCCCGTGGCGATGATAAAATCAGAGCTCTGCAGACCTCTCAGGAGAAGATGAGGAAGCTCTACGGCGGCCCTCTGAAAGCTGGCGATGCCTCCAAAGAAGCCTTCTACCAAATCCTCAAGAAACATGAGAAGATGCTCATTGACGACCTCAGCTGAAACAGTACAAAGTAAAGCCAGGGTCTCCTTTATGATCACAGAGTAACTGAGCTGATGTTTGTTAACTTACAGGTCTATCAAACCCGTGGCTGTCAGACTGCATCAACACTGCACCTGTCTTCACACAGGGTGCAGCCAACATCAGAGCACCACACAGAAGGGCCCGCTAACTGAGGAACTGCGGAGTGCTTCGGAGGCATCTACCATCAGCGACCCCCACTCCCAGATCTCACCCACAGTGGAAACGTGTCAGGTGCTGCAAGAGGAAGCAGAAGAGGGGTAAGCGCGGAGGCATCAGGCAGGATCAGGCAGGCTAGCGGCTGAATTTGTTTTTACATTTTTGAACCTTCTACAGAGGCACCGTTCAGAGAATCCTCACCAGCTGCATCCCTGTGTGGTCTGGCTCCTGCACTGGGTCCTGCCAGAAAAAGTTATTGAGTATTGAGAGCAGCAGAGAGGATCGTGGGTACTTCTCCTCCCTCCCTTCAGAACATCTACAGCACCCGCCTCATCTCTCTGCATTACAGGTGACTCCACTCATCCGTCCAACAGCTTCTTCAGTTTGCTGCCATCAGGAAGGAGACTGAAGAGCCTCGAGGCCGCAGACGGAGAGACAGCTTCATCCATCAGTCAGGATGCTGAATTCACTCCCTGCTCTCGCACACACCGACTCCAGACCTGCATCCACCTCTGAACCCCCCAAACATACAAACTCTGAACCTCCACCATCAGCCTTTCACTGACTGCCCCACCTCCACATGCACATGAACTCTTGCCCACAAACACTGTTGGACTCTGCTGTTTATGTAAGATTGTATTGTAATGTGTTGAACATAAGACTTTTATTTTATTTTCATCTTTAAGTTGTTCATTGTACACTGAGTGCTGTGGGAGCATTGCAACTTCAAATTCCTGTCTATGACTGTACAGATGGTCTTTGACAATAAAGCTGACTTTGAACTGTGTATTCATCCTGTAGTTAATAAGTGTGTGTAAGTAGTGTGATGTAATTCTTATCTCCCAGTGTCCACCTCACCTTACAGTATGAAGCACCTGGAGACACCTGTTGTTGTGATTTGGAGTTATATAAATAAAGTTGAACCAAATCCTCACATGTGTAAACTGTAATCACTCTGCTTTAGCTCTGCTTACTTATGTGTGTTACTTTAACAGAAGACAGGAAGTGTGCTGTACAGTTGGAGGGCAGCTGTGGACCAAACCATTATTTATGAGGGTGGGGGTGGATGGGAGCTGTGATTTTGAAACTGCCTGTTAGGAGGATAAAGATTTAACTCTGAACAGTCAGTGCTAAAAATCTGTGTGTGTGTGTGTGTGTGTGTGTGTGTTAGGGAATGTGTGTGTGTGTGTGTGTGTGTGTTATTATCAGTGTGTATGTGGCAAGC